CATGAAATCCAGCGATGCGTAGTGTTTTAACAATACTCTAGTTTGTTTTTATAACAACTATAAACAATAAATATGAACAACAAATTACCCTACAAGCATCAAGCCCTCCTTGTATCTAGACCTCTGTCTTGACAATCCGACAGCCTTGCTATCAGACATAAAAGGAGGTTTTACATTTATACTGTGACTATGACTGTGATAACGCTGGGACGAAGACCATGAAGTGCAATGAACTGGCAATGCGACTGTGAGACACACAGGGTAAAATACATGAGGTAATGAGGGGAGATGGGAAACAGGTGAGGGAAAGTCATCAGGGAGCAGGTGTGACGAGAAGTGAATCTAGGACAGAGACAACAGGTTAGTGATTTCAAATAAAAACAGGAAGGACAAGATAAAAATGTGCACACATAAAACAGAAACTTGACAGATATGACACCATCCATTGTCTGTACACCGTTTAATCCTCACTAGGGTGGCTGGAGCCTATCCCAGCTGACTCAGGGCAGTGGACACCCTGGACAAGTCACCAGTCTATCACGGGGCTACACATACCCCTTTTCCACCAAGAAGGACCAGGTGCTAGTTCCTGCTGGTGCTAGAGCCAGTGCTGAGTTGGTTCAAGTCTGGCACCGCCTAAGAACCAGTTGCTTTTCCATTTGCAAGGAGCCAAGTTAGAGCCACGCTATACGTCACTGCATATGTAGCTGTTTACCGAACAATGATCATGCCACACAGAAGTCCACACAGGACTCCAGACTAACTTTTTTACTGGTGCGACCAACTTTCTTATTTGTTCACACTTCTTGGCTTGTCACAGGCAAAACATATGACTTGCTGAACATTTTCTTATCAATAGACTCTACAATTTACGATGTTCCCTGAACACCCCACATAGCAGGCTGCAGTAGCTGCTGGTGGTGGCTGCGATGTGTTCAGACAGGAGTGTGACCAAAAATGACTTTAAAAAGAGTAAACTAGGGCATTGCAATGTCAGATTTGTCCAAGATGACACAGAGTGATTTTTCTTATGTGGTCTTTTCTGTGAGTGGAATAAACAGCGCACATAGGTATGCTCCGTTTTTCATGAGAAGACCACAACTCTAAGTGTAAATACAGCAGTACACCGAAGTACTGTTTTCCAACACTGCGGTGTTGCTGGTGGGACCATAGACTGTATAAAAGATGGACGTAGTACCGGCCCTGAAAAATGAAGCAGTGTACCTGCAGTACCACTACGGCCGCTAGTTGCTGGCTCCGAAAAGCCATGGCTTCCATAGGCCCCAATTGTAAATGGAGTGATCACAGATCACAATTTACCGCATTTCTACAGCTCAGGATTTTTTTCCCCTTAGTTTTCATGGTCAAATCCAGAGATAAGGTGACCAATCTGAAAAAAGATCGATGCTGAATGTTAAATAAATCGTCAAAATTTTGCGGGGAAGGGGCGTGGCTGGCTTGATTGACAGTCTGGTCAGGAATGACTGACAGGTCGTAAGGGAGAGGCAGCCTGGAGTCTCATTCACCATGAACTCAGGTCTCCTCCTTCTTTAGATTTACTTCTAATATAATTAAGTGTTCGATTGTCGTTATTTAGCCGGGGGTAGCAGCACATTTTTCACAAAGTTCTGCTTTCCGCTGGCTATTTTAACCAGTTTTCAGTTCACTGTAATTCTGACATTCGGCTGATTGAACCAGAGACACTGAAAGGATCCGTTCGGTCAGTAAATGTTTATTTTGTTATTGTTGCCGGTTTTAATGCACTTTAACTGCAACCTTAGCCTCAGATGTAACGTGGGCAGTAAACTCTACAAGTTGGGGGAGTTTATTTCTGTATAGACCAGAGAAGAGAGTTAGCATCCAGCAGATACTAGCTTTAATGTGAATTACCAATGCTAGCCGAGCTAGCTGACCAGTCGTAGCCTGGTTAAAGTGAAAAGTAGCAGCATCAAGCAAATGATGTTTGTGTTGTGTTTCATGTAATCAGGAGGAAGTGTGTTGTGTTACTGTGATGTGGTACACTGAGTTAGTAAAACTGTCCGTGGACACGCTGGTCCATATTAACGTAACATTTAGGAAACTTGAACATGATTAAAATCGTAATGTTAAGGTTCATTAATAGTCCTGAATATATGTTGTCTGATGTTTAACTGATGAAACCGTTCAACTCCACTCTGATCTTTAACGCTTTGTTGGACAGTTGGTTGTTTAATAACTGATAACTGGAAGAATAAACACCCAGAATAATGCCAAAGTAGTGCCTGACACTACAGTTAAATATAAATTAAACTTAAATACAGCACAGAGAGACTGAAGAAAAAATAAAAATCTTCTTTCGTAAGTGTGAAGCTACTACAGGCCTTCCTTTCTTTAGGTGCTTGGAAAACTATACATGAAATAGGAAATGTTTCCAGGATTAATTCAAATGAACCTCTGCTGTTGATGCTGATACTGTGATGTCTTTCTTCACCTCAAGTTTGTCTCATGTCCAGTGAAGATCTTCTGAGTGAAGCCAACTGAAGGAAAACCTCATCTGGAGCTGTTCATCTGGTTGTGAAGGAGACTGAATGGACGTCATCCTCAGTGAACCACTTCCAGTTCGGTTTTCACTTACAGAAAGATAGACCAGCTGTTTATAGTCTCTGTTGTCAGTATTCACAGGTTCCATTTATCACCTTTAACTTCATCTTTACTGTTGTTGCATCATTACAATACGGAGAACGTGTTGCTGTCATTTATAGCAGATATGCAGCATTGAAACGTGAACACATTCAGGACAAGATCTTCATTAATACCTTTATTGCACATTTAAAAACTACATTATTTAACAATTCTGAACTGGAAAGATGTGTCAAAGGATGTAATAGATGGATGAAATAAATGTGTTGCCCAGCTTACAGTGAAGTGTACATACTTAACAGTCATAAGAAAAGTGTGTTTTATGAAAAGAGGGAGCTGAAACTCAGCTCAACATTATTGTTGTTACTAGAATAGATGAGGAGGACATCAGTGCTGCTCTTCCTCACAGGAATGAAGAAGGAGAGAAGACTCTTCACCTCAGACAACCTCAGCTGAATGTTCATGTTCTCTGTAGATCTTAGATCACATCAGACTTAGATGTTCCCAATGATCTACATCATGGCTGGAAGGAAAAGACACATTGCAAATGCTCTGGACACAACATGCACTTGCAAGCCAAAAAAGAAATACCAGAGCCTCTAACTCCTGACCACAGCCGTGATCACATGGAGATAGGAGGATGTGGGCTAGGTAGCTTATTGTGGGTCTGGAGAGGCGGAAGTCAGGCCGCAGGTCACTCTGGCCATCCAGGAATAAGGCAATGAGTGGAACATGACTGTTTAGTTCACAATACTGAGATGATTTTGCATGCTGAAAATAGAAATATTCAAATCTAGAGTTTTCATTTTTTACATCAGTTCATGACACCATTCGATGTGACCATACAATCTGGTATAATAGTTTACTGAACAAGTTGTGAAAGCAAAGTGGTATCAGGCCTAACTTTTCTCAGGAGGGGCTGTAGTCTGAACCATAAGATATAAACAGTCTATGGTCTGAACCATAGTTAAATGTCACACTGACAATTCAGAGATAATCAATGTATGTATCTATTGTAAATAACATGAAAAGGCTACAATCATGTTCATGTGTTCACTTATAAGTTGATGTTGTCTTGTCAGTTCAGCAAAAGCAATTCGTCTCAGTCTTCTCTGACGATTGATTTGGTTTCCTATTATTATTGTTAGAAGAATTTGTATGATCGCCATAAGAAAAACTGAAAAATTGAGGATTGGTGGCATTTCCACAGATTTCTAATAGCTATTTTATAGTGGAAAAAATTGTGACTAGTTATAAGTCGTCTTTTCAAAGGAATGTCTCCTGTTTAGCTCGTTGAAATGATGAATCGTTAGTTATGGTCCAAAAATGTGAAAATTAAAAATAATAATTCGTATTATATTTAATGGAAGCAGAGTGATGTATTTCAACACAAAGGGTTTTTAAAAATATATTTTCATTTATTACTTTTGGAAAATACGCTTAGTACAATATGAATTTATCACAGAAATGCCGGTCGGCTCATTACAATAGCCGGTGTTGATCCGATACGTCTTAATTGAGCGACAGCAGTGACGTAATTAATAGCACCGAGATTTGCACAGTGTCAGGGTAGAAGAACAGAAGGAGGATTGGAATTGATAAAAAATGACATGTTTAAGATAAAATGGTTTAAAAAAGTACTTGGAAAAACCCACATCTTTATGGAATTTCATATCACACAACATATTTAAAGCTTTAAAGTATTACTTTCATCAGAATCATAATCAGAAACAGATTTATTGCCAGGTATAGTTTACACAATACGAGGAATTTGTTCCGGTGGGTTGGTGCAACAATACAACAATAAATGTAGAGTAAACAATAAATATAGAGACACAGTGATACAGTGATTAATTACTGTTAACATTTAATCTATTGTTTTTATTTGATATTGACAGCTGTTGAGGGACCATTTTATGGAAACTTTTTGTCTACCTTATTGATTTGATATTACAGTTAGCTTTAGTGGGACAGAATTCATGAGTAGCTAAAATTAAGCAGAGATGGAGGAAAGGGTGCAAAATCAATGGGAGGAAGAGATGGCCAGATGGTTGTAAAGCAGGCCTCATCAAAGAAATGGGAAGGACAGGAGGAAAGAGGTGGGAGGATGCAATTATAGCATCCCAAAGCTAAACAGTACACTCAAAATAGTAAAACACAATTCAGGATGAGTTGACAAGAACACGCAGTGGCAACGAGTTTTATGTAGCACATAATTTGCAAATATGTTCAGAAAATGAACGTTATCTGTTCCCATTTTATTAACCTCGGAGAGCAAATTTGATTGAGATGTGTTCTTTAACACTGGAATTCCGATCCATGCCCACCAGGTGGCGGAAGTGCACCATTTCGTGGTTTGTCAACCGCTAAGAAATATCAAGAAGAAGAACGACTATCGGAAGCTAGCTGTAACAACGAGTTGCTAACCGTTTTGTGAGACTTGATAAAATAACATAGTGAAAAGTAACCCTGAGGAGAGATAAGGTTCCCGCTGCCAGCAGATCATGCAGCGCTCTAAAAGGTAATGAGCCGTAAAGCCTCAGGGTCTCGGCTCAGCGGCGCCCACAAACTGCGGCCAAACTGGAACGACTGGCAGCCCAGGTTGGTGTCTGTGAGCGCTTTGGTGTTGGATGGTTCAAATAAAACGGCGAATTTTGGGGCCTACGTTGTGTTTCTGTGTTAAGTTGCGGTCACATGGGAGGTAATTGCCTCTGTGTTTCTTCACCGCAGCATTACATGGTTTAACTGAATTGTCTTCCGTACCGTAATCTTGACATAATTTGCCACGAAACATACACTAAAGCTTTTTATACAGGGTCGGCTCTTCATGAGCTCGTCTCGTGGATGGCTGAACCCGGCGCTAACGTTATTCACAGAGCATTGCTAATGTTGCCTGCATGCAGCTAACTCAGGTAATGCTAATGACTAATTGACAGCAAGGGATCTCAGACACATCAGTAAAAGCAATGCTGGTCCATGTTCCCCAGCGATGACTTAAGTGGGAGATTTATTCACGAGGTGATACAAATTGATAAGTGGTGGCAGTCATTTGTGGGCTACGGTGTTAGTTTCGCTGGTTAGCAGTCCTACAGTTCTGTTCGCGCTGGCTAACGATAGCTAGCTAACAAGAGGAAGACGCCACCCCACGACAATGTTCTCAACTTCACAAGCAACTTAAGGACAGATTTCTGCAACGTCTAACGAAATGTTTAACGGCGTTGGTCTTGTAATTTCTAAAGCTGATCTTAAGTAACTGCGAAAGTCAACAATGAGTGGTGCATTAGATTCCATTGCATTTCTAACAGCGTATAGTATTTCTTTGTCGTAAAGCTACTGCCTAAAGGATGCGGGTTCATTGTGTGGCAGTCAGTTTGGAAACTGGATGAATCGAAACTTGTTTTCGGTACCAGAGGCCACTAAAGTACAATCCAAATTGAGTGGTTAAGATCCTTGCGGTGGCCTGTGCATCTACCCAATCGTGAGGCCCTGTCTCCACACGAGCACCTTCCATATTTGATTTGACATGAGTGAGACACATGAGTTTCCGAGTATTCAAGTGTCACTAATGATCCCAAACTAAGTTGGGAACACAGGGTCATAGACCCCATAGCATCATTTTGCTTCTGAGCTTCCAGGAGAGTACAAGCAGCCCTGAGTAACAGCTCAGTACAGACAATTTGTAAATAGTGTTAAACAAAGACTTAAACCATAAAGGTGATTAATTAAATACAATGACAAGACTGGCAGTTAGTTATAATTTGATTTTAAAAAGACACTTGTAAAATCAGGCATCAGGTTGGCACTCTTGTCAACAGTTTCTGTTTTTTACTGGCCACTTTCAGTACTATTAACATTTAACTGACACTAAAGGGCATGCAAAGTCAAACTAGACATGGGATTTGTACAGAAAGATTCATCTGTTACCTTGCTTCTCATTGTTAACATTGATTGTAGTCTGCGGTCTCTATATGTATCCCAGATGAACATAAAAACTACACTGCATTGTATCACTAAGAGAAAAAAAAGAATTTTCAGTTTCATCAAACATGTTTTTTATTTCTCTTTTCCTCTTTCTACTGGTTCATCTCTCTCTTCTCTCCTTCTCAGTTACTTTTTTTTAAAATAGTCATTTAAATGACATTTAAGCCTCTCCATCCTTCAGTGTTGACACAAGAGAAAGGCAGAAATGCCTTGTGCTGTTCTAATGTTAAACATGCAGTCCTGTTTTCAGGGGTTGTTGAAGCGAATCATGAACATGCTGCACTTGTCTTAATGGACTTCATGTATTTTATACTTAATAATGGAGAAGTACAACCATTCTTATTTGTTTATTACTTATTAGTAGTATGCCAGCATTTGTGTGCCTTAATTATTACAGTAAGAAATATGGCCATTGAATCCCTGTTAAAAAACAAAAAAGAAAACTTGTTATTTTGTGCATATTTAACTTTTTTTCTTTCTTTCTGGGCTGTACTGAAAACATGATAAACTGTGACCCCTAAATCAAGGCACCTACGATAATTTGTATTCCACACCAAATTCTTAACTCAGTTTCTTTCCTTATAATAAGAAAATGGTTTTATAGAACGCCCTGTGGATTCATTCACATACAGTAAATAGATATGGCCAGTGAAAGTGAAAGGACATAAGAAAAAGACAAAGTTCAGTTGCATGAACAAGTTGGAAGCTGGCGGCTTTGCTCTGTCATCCTCATCTGTGTATCTCTGGGTTATACTTGCTTTATTTATTTAATGTTTATCAAGATAATTCCTTTTCCCTTATTTATTTTTTATTTATGTGTCAATTTCGTTTTAGCTGTTAATATTAAAATTATAAAAATGTATACCTTCACAAATGGGTTAAATTAAATTAAAGTCTCAAATGAAACCCTTTTTCTCCTGATCTGTATTCAAAGTTGGTAATTAAAAATGATTAATAATTTAGAAAGACTTTTCAGTTTTATTGCCAGCCCTACATCTTAGTCCCTCCCACTAGAGATGCAAGTGGAGGTGTCTCGTTTAACAAAACGAGACATCCTTGCCTGTGACCCATTGTTTTAAAGTGTTAATTAAATATAATTTGTTACACAGCTGCATAAGCTATCCATTGTTTGGGTACAGCCTACTGCTGTAAGATTTCTAAGATTTCTGTCAGATGAGCAGGAAAATGTTCATGACAACGTACAGTATATTTACATATAAGTTCATTCACATTGTGTAATAATCTGACAAAAACGCATCGGTATCTTTTCTTTAATTTAACACACACTGTGAAGTATAACAAGTTTTGCTGCAAAAGTGTTGTGACTGAGTGATATATTTATTTCAACATTTGTCAGTCCTGCTCTTAACGTTTGTACGTTTGTGTGTGTGTGTGTGTGTGTGTGATTTCTGTCAGATGTGCAGGACAATGTTCATGACAACTTACAGCATATGTTTATTTTTAGTTTAATTCACACTGTGGCATAATATGATATAGTCAATCAGTAAAGTAACTGTTGAATTGTTTTTGAATCGAGAATGTGTTCTGACCTAACTATAAAGAAACTCAATAGAGCAGTGAATTCTGGAATTGTCAAATTTTTCCCACCCCAGTGACTCCCATCTTATTCAGTTGTTAAGTAAAATACTGAAACTGATGATATCCAAATCAGTGTTAGACCATGCAGTAAATCTGTTTTTATATTTTGTCTTTCTCTGTCATGTATATGTTATCCATATATTCAGAGTTGACAGTATATCATCCAGCCAGGACGAAGGGAAGTCGGGAGAGCTTGGTTCAGGACCGTATGACGTGTTGCCCTCCAGCTGCCCTGAACAGCCAGTGGTGCCCAGTGATGTCTACACTGCTGCAAATGCACATCAGGAAGAAGGTGAGGCTTTCCACGATTCCAGAAATCACAGAATTTCTAAGCTGAATAGTCGGGTATTGGCTCTTCTTTCAGTTTATTTGCCAAATAAATAAAAAGAACATTTTTAGTTTTAAACAATTTTTTGAACGAGTTCTAAAATATTAATATTTTTTCATTTTTTATGACAGGTGGTCTTATTAATTAGTGTACCACTATATGTATGTGTGTATCCGTATGCAGTGTTTCCTCTAGGATTTTTTTTTTAGCAACGGGGCAGGCTCTCCGGGGAGCTATGGCGGTCTAAACAAATGACGCTTGACTGCAGATTTTACTTTTACAACCTATTTATTGAATGGCCAGTTAAAAGTGTCATTTTAACGGGTGAATGTAAAAAATAAAATTAAATAAATAAAACAAGAAAATTAAATAAAGAAAAATAGAAACAATAAATAATAATTTCTTGATGGGGCTGTAGAATCAGTGGCAAAGTTTTTTTGTTTTTTTTTAATAAAAGAGCTCTAAGGCTCTGTTGTACGGAAATTCTTTTAGAGGTAGCTGCTGATGCTCTGATGAGTACCTAACCATCATCATTTCTAAGTCAGTAAAAGGCTAGTGGTACCGGACTAGCGTCATCTTCATCAGGTGTCTTTCTCTTCTTAGAGAAATATTTGAACAAGCTCATCTGAAAATGAGGTCAGCTGTTACATCATAGCTTAGTTCTATCAGTTAGTTTACTCACGTTAGCGACACTGAGTTGGCACCGGGCCCAATTAACTGAGGCTACCGGTATGTTATGTAGCGTTAGCTGGCCATTAATATTTTGCGAATGTCTTGTAAAATCTTTTCTGAGTTATCTTAAGCTAATAAGTCTCCCTTTTCTCCAGTAAGTAGCTGCCTTATTTTCCAAGACAACCCTCCTCTGACTCTCTGACCAGGAACCTGGGTATTTACAAGGCGCACTCTCACGAGTAATGAACGTTGTATTAACCCCCCACCACCCCAAATGAATGTAGAGGAAACACTGTGTATGTATGTCTGTGTCTATTTATATATATATCTGTGTGTGTATATGTCTCTCCTGCGCTTTGTAATAAATATAAAACAAAGGTTTTATCCATCAATGCTTGTGTCTCTAGGTGGATATGAAGCTGGTCAAGGTGTCTGTGATACTTCGTTTGGTTGGAAGTCGCTGGGGAAAGAGTTGAGGCCTAATGACGTGACAACGGATTTGATACCTTTTCAGCATGGAACCCGTGCTTTAGCTTCAAAGGACATGAGGAAATCGCAGGGTAAGCTCTGTGATAAATGTTGGATCCAGTACCAAAGTTTGGATCCAGCATCTTATTATGCCAATCCTGATTGGCTGGTGACACTTCATCAGGTAGAGCCACCTACTCTTAAGAAGCCTGCGCTATGACACAACATCAAATTCAAAATAAACATCTCTTCTCGCTTCGCCCCAGCAAAAAGAGCTGTCTGCTGAGACATCTCACGCATGCTTTTCTGAGAACGAGGATTACGCAAGTAACCTATCCTTCTTATCTGTTTCGATGTTTCACTATGGTATATGGGGACCCCTATATGTCCAGACACGCAGATTTCAAACAGCCACAAGCCGTCCTAATGGTGGCCCCCTGCACCAAGTGGGGCCCAACGCTCAACACAGTGGGGGCCACGCTTTGAGCAGAGACGTCCAGCTTTGAGAACCCCTTTATACAGGACCCAGGGTGCAACCGTATAGCACGAGTCCCCTATAAGTCATGTATAGGCAAGGGCAATTGCCCCTACAAGTTAGAGAGCTGTTTCTTTATCATAGGCTTGCCCCTATGAGGAATCGCCTAGGATACAAAAAGTTTAGCACTTTTACGAAACCTTTTGTCTTGTCCTAGTACATCAGCAAGACACAGACTGGAAAGAACACATGCTTGATCTGAAGAAAAAAGGGCGCTGAAGAGAATGCCATAAAAAAAATAAATAAATAAAAAATGGTTGAGCATGAGCTAGTTACTCTGGGCACTACGGCAGGGTGGGGCTTCAGTGACATGCTCTGAAGCAAACTGCGTGCACAAAGGATGCACTGACAGTGCATGAATGTCATTGACGTGCTTGGCAGACACTAAAGCCAGCAGAAACGCTGTCTTCAGACACAGGTGTTTTTAGCTGACCTCCCCCTGTGGTTCAAATGGGGCCCTAGAGAGCCCATTCAAGACCACTGCCAGGTCCCATGGGGAATACAGTGACCTGGAAACAGCACACACTAAGAAGCCTACGATTCCCTCTCACGAAACAGCAGACCAAAGGATGTTGGCTAGCTGTTTTGCCCAAACCCAACATTGGCATGCTGCAATAGCAGCCTGGTAGACATTAGTTGTGGAGAAAGCTTTTTCTTTGTCAATCATGTCCTGCAGGAATGACTACATCACACCAACAGGACAGAAAGGAAATGTGTCCTTCCAACACAACTCCCCCATTTACAGTCATAAAGAGACGTACTGTAGGATGCTCTAGCACTCTGAGGAAGCCCCACAGTATTTAAATTATACCACTCACAAGCCAGAAAACCGGGAGTAGCTCTGTTGTCATCCCCGTAGCCTGAGGCGTTTTCTTCCCTTCATAGCGAGATCTGGTGGTCTCTGTAACTCGGCAGGCCAAGGATTGTTTAGCCAGGATCCACTGCGTTTGCGTATGGTCCATGCTAGCCCTGAGGGCTATCACAGCACTGGGCTTGGCAGCCTTAGCAGAAGGGATGAAAACAACTTCCTCATCCTCTGGTATGAGGAGCTCTGAGGTGTCGTCCTCAAGAATGCTAGAAATGAGAACAGAGGGATTCATGTTGTAGGCAAATAATACAAAACCTATGCAATGCAGCCAACATGGTATGTGTATCATTAGTTCTTTTCAAATTCAATTAAAAATCCAAAAGTGAAGAATGAAAAAACTCTTTATGAATTAAACACTGAAAAAAAACAACAGCTTTTTATTCTTACTTTATATCTTATGTGCAAGCCATGAAAGAGGAAATTTAAAAAGTTTTATTTTGTCCAATTCATGTGACCAGGAAGTCATTAACTTCTTTGCTTTTTGATAGATAGGTAGTTACACTGATACTGATATTCAAACTGATCATTATTACACAGTTAGATGTGCACTTGGAGAACACAGGCCTCTGCCAAGGTTAGTAGTCCATTCCTCTATTGCATGTGATTTCGTGACCTAAACCTTCTGCACTAAAATGTATGGATTTTTCCTTGTAACTGGTGCTACCTCACCACAAGGTTTCATGAAAATTGACCTGGTAGTTTTACATAATTCTGCTGACGGACTAAAAAGCAAACAAATCAGCAAATGATAATCAAAACATGACCTCCTTGGCAGAGGAAACAAGTCAGATTGTTGTAAGCCTAAACAATTATTATGTTTAAGTTGTGACTCGATAATCTGACCCTTGACAATCTGAAAACCTTGCTATCTGAAAGGTTTTTAGGAAAAATGAACGGAACCCATTAAGAATAGCCTTAACATACCGACAGCCTTGGATTCCGACTCCGACATGACATTTTATGTCACAAATAAGGATAACGGCGTATTATCTGACTGAACAATCCGCCAGATTGGCTACATTCCGACTGCAGGACTTAATGCTCAATTTGGATTTTTTTTGTGAAATCCGATTTTTTTCAAGTTTGTTCACATTTCCGATTAAATACGACTTGTATGTGATGTCCTGTGTGAACTTCATATGACCCAAAAGTGTCCCGCATGACCAGAAGAGGACACAACAATGTCACACGTAGCGAACGTGCTCAGTGTTTGCAGAAGTAAACGTGGATGGTGGTGGTGGCAGGGAAGTGGCGCCGCCGCTGTCACCTATGGTAGAAACAGAAGTGTGACCACTAACTAAACTGGCATCAGCAATATTGCCTGTGCGTTCCGACCACTTTCACCTCGTCACAGCGCGCGCGCACCCCCACCACCACCACCACCACCACCACACCGAATATTCTGATATTCATCATTAATTGAGCCCAGCTATTCAGACCAGCCCGACTAGTAATATAATAACTATAAACAATGAATATTAACAACAAATTACCCTTCAAGCATCAAGCCCTCCTTGTATCTCGACCTCCGTCTTGACAATCCAACAGCCTTGCTATCCGACATAAAAGAAGGTTTTACATTTAGTGTCAGATTTTTGAGTCACGACTGTATAATATGTACACAATCCCACCCATATCCAGATGACCAACACAGATGGCAAACACGCAGTGCAAAATGATAAAAATCCAATTTATAATTCATTGTCTGACTAAAAATTGTTATGCAAATTACTTGGTTGATTTTTAGCTCATAACTAAATAAACAGCATTTTCTAAAATGTCATATATTTTACACTAAACATTCGTGAAATGCATTTTGAATCTACAGTGACAGCCTGTGGTGGTACTGAGAGATAGTTTCATTGTGTTGTTGCAGACAGAGGAATGGCTCACTCAGAGGAGTCTCGACTGACCAACCTCCTGCGCCGAGTTTCCAGGGAAGATGACCGCGACCGGAGGCTGGCCACTCTCAAACAACTAAAGGAATTCATCAGCCATGGCGAAAGCAAAGTGGTTAGTCAGATTCTGTAAAGATCATCTTCCAGTTTTGTCATTGCAAACCTTCTGTAATATGAAAATAAGACATAATCAGAAAATAAGACATAGTCATGTTAAAACTGTGCCTCTCATCTTCATCTCGGCGCAAAATTTGGGATATTTCACGGTCTCTGCAGTCATGCACGCAGTGACCAACAGACTGGCTCAAACTTTTTAACAAACTTGTCTGACTATAATAGTAAATTCCTATGTAGTTTCTGGTATTGGCTCTGTTTGGCTTTATATTCTTAGTATTCTTCGACAGTGTTGCATTTAAATGCCACACACATGCTCGTGATATCTGAAATATTTGTTGATTTAGTTTTAGTGTTCTGTATCAATTGTGTTGAAATTAACCTAAAGTAAAATAGCATCTACAGTCACTGCAAGCGTGGCTTTATCCTGAGTAACGTTTACAAGTGTTCTTAATTAGGCAGTGGAAATTGCCACAATTTGGTAAATGTTGAGCTTTAGGTTATGTATTCTTTACCAAAAAATGATCAACTGTATGCAGTAATTATGTGGTAACCAGAGTTTTTCCACTTTTTTTTTCACTGTTGTTTTTTTTTTATGAACCAAACGTGTGTTCAAATGACTGAAGATGTTTTTATTTGTGTTGACTCTATTGTTGTGCTTTTTAAGACTAGTCCCTGATTTTCACGGGGCAGAAATAATCACTAAGAAAATAGACATTTACTTGTCAAACAAAGCAAATATCAAAGACAGGGTGTGTTGGTAAAGCTGACCAAAAAGAAAGACAGTTTGACATGTCCAGGTTTTCTTTGTGTGAGTTAGCTCAACAAAACATAAAATTCCAATCAGAGATAGTGGGTATCACGATGATGACTGTCAACTTTGTTAGCAAAGACTTTCTTCTTCAGACTTACATAAAATGTCATGTGACTCGTCTTCTGCACAGAATGGACTGATCATGTGCCACCTACTTCAGCCATGGAGAGCTATAAAGAATAT